TGTGGTGCACAGTGTGTGGGGCCCATCAGGCTGCTGTCCTTGGCACACTGTGCATGCTGTCACTGATCCCCAGGCTGATCCCCCTTGCTGACCGCAGTTTGGCGAGGCCGACTCTGACGGGCTTCAGTTTGGCGAGGCCAACTCTGACGGGGTGCCTGACAAGGACGCCTTGACGGGGCCAGGGCTCGCCCCCCCCCCCCCCCCCAGACTCGCATTTGCCTCCTGGTGATTGCCTGAGCCTGTGCTCTACGCTCTTTTTTTCGTTGCACCCCCTGCATTTTGCAGCCCGCCTGGCCCGCATGGAGGAGCAGCTAAAGCACGAGGAGAAGCTGGCCCGCCTGCAAGAGCGGCAGGAGCACCAGAAAATGGGGATGGAGGACCTGAGTGTATGCACGCCGCCCGGCTTGCCTGTGTGTGATGTGGAGGTTGCATCCTCCCATGCTCTTGTCTGCGTAGGTTGCCCTGGCGTACAACTTCCACCATGGCATGCCTGTCTTTGTCCTGCCTGCCTGCCTGCCTGCCTACAGAAGATGATGGGCCGATTGCAGATGACGCTGGACAGCGTGGTGGCGGGTACCACTCCCTATCAGCAGGTGGGTAGGTGTGCCCAAACGTCTTCCCTTGCAATGCCTGGACAAAGGCGACCGAGCGCTTGCATGCGAGTGATCAGATCTTTCCTGGCAGCGCCTGCTGTGTGCCCAGCCTTGTTGCATGGGGTCAGGCACAATCACCTGGTCTCCCCACACCCTGTGCAGGCGCAATCGCAGAAGATGGAGGCGGCATCGCAGAAGATGGAGCGAGATGGCATCGCAGAAGATGGACCAGAAGGTGGATAAGATGAACAGCAATGTAGAGTCGCTGCTGCGCTCCAGGACGCAAGCGTACGCAGTTGGCGCCTTTGTCCTGGGCACTGGAACGTTGCTGTCTTCATGGTGGAAACTGGTGCACTGAATTCTGCCAGTTTTGGCCGCCTGTTTTTTGTCTCTATGTAAGAGCAGGCAGTGATTCTAGTAGAAGTTTTGTAGCAGCCGGAGCCCGGCTGCGGCCATTCACCTCATGTCAGTTCTCTGCTGCTGCTGCTGCTCACGGTAGGGGCGGTGGTCGGGACACAACGCCACCCGCCCCATGTTACAGGCGGGTGGGAATACAACAGTGCCGCTAGCGCTGAGTGTGGGGCATGCAAGCAAGCATGGATAAGGACGGGTATGAAAGCACAAACAGGGCCCGGAGGCCAGCCGTAGTAAAGCAGCCGCCCGTAGCGGCGTCGCCGCTGGGCGGGAGCGCCAGCAGCCCAGCGCGCCGCGCTGCAGGGTGGGGGTGGGGGGGGGACAGCACAGGAGCAAGCAAGAGAACGATCCCGAAACAGCACAGAGTGCGGCCTCTGGCCGAGGGCGGCAGCATGACTGCCGCCGCCGTGGCGCTGTACAGCGGCACCGGTACAGGGCGCCGCTCGCCGCAGGCAGCAGAGAACAGCAGTTACTGTGAACAGTAACATATGAGGGTTACGAAGTAGTTACTGCTTATTCTTATTATTCTTATTATTTATATAAATAAAAAAGGAGAGGAAGGCCCCTGCGGACCCGCAGGCAGCTGATATACTCGCATGAAGGTAGTGCTGTAGTGCTGCCAGCCGGGCAGGGCAGGTGACAAGTCGGTTGGTCAAGGCATGAGAAGTAGATAAAAGCCAAATCACAGTGCAGCCTAGCCTGCACATTGCTTGCCCCGCCCATTCTTCTGCAGGCATGCATGTATGCAAGCACCCCCAGAAGCTGCGATCTTGCCTGCGGTGTGACGGTCTGAAGTGCCCGCCGCCCCGCCCTTGCCCCCCGGCCCCACGCTACCATGCGGCAGCTCCAGGCACTTGAAATCAGGGGTATGACACGGGCACACAGCCAGGAAAAGTGGGCCAATTGTAACTGGCAGTGCAATGGGATCCCGCGGCGGAAGGCCAACAGGCGCTCCCGCCTCTTGTGCCGCCCATTGCTCGCACAACCAGGGTGG